GCACGCTTGTTTCATGGAAGCCTTATGTGATGACTCCAAGTGTTGCAGTCGGTCTCTGCAGTGCCGAAGTACATGTATGCACGGGATGCACCAACTTGTACCGGTACAAGCAGCGCGTACAGGACCTTCGCTGTCTTCTTGCGCTTTGTGGTCGTTCCCAATGAGGCAAAGGTGGGCATCGCAGTGCATATTCTTTGTCAACGTATCCACCGCGACCAGAGCTGTACTAGCCGAGTCGACCGAGAGGAGCCCGTGGAATTTTCTTTGGGTTTCGATCGTTGACACGTCCATCGACAAGGTTGTGCGCGCGACTCACTTCGTAGAAACGTGCACCTTGATGGAAGCCACGCTTCTCGACCCATGGTGCATTGCAGAGGAAAATGTACGCGGGGTCATCTGGCAAGTGGCTGCTAGTCGACGTATTGTCCGTCCTGCCTCAGCGCCTCTTTTTTGGCAAAGAAAAAAGGTTCACCATTTGCGCTACCACAGTTTGAAGTCAGCCGACGAATATACCTCTGCAATTGCAGCTTATAACGAAATCTTGGATCTACTCGTTGACGCTATGAGCGGCAAGCCGCTCTCGCATCTGCTCAACCATTTGCCGCTGGGTCTCGATGCCAAGCTGGAGTCGTGTCAGCTGCGCGCCCATTTCTGCATCTCGCACCGCCATCAGCGCACGCTCTTCATCGCTGCTGTCGTCGCCCAAGTCATCAAGGGACGTCTCTTGACTGTCATTCTCGCTCGAACTTGACTGCTGCGTCTCGTGCGAGTCGCGGGGCGAGGTTGCGCTATCGGAGGGCGCTAACCCTACTCCCGTTTCATGAGACATGACATGAGGTCGTTCGAGCATTTACGGCGCTGCGAGGACGCGCTCGTGGACGATCGGTACGTTCGCGCCTGGAGAAAGCAGCGCTTGCAAAACTCTTCGGGGGTCGCCTTCATGTTGCCGTTGGGTAATGCGAGGACCCGCGGAATCTGCACGACACACTTGCCACACATACTCTATCTCGGGCTATGAGACATTGTGCATTGCCTATATGTGTAAAGGCGTACGTCTCGGCAGCCCCAGCACTCGTGGCGGGCGCGCAGACCACGGAATGAGGCGGCGCACGACGAACAAGCGCCGGATTTTCTACAAAAATTATGGTGAAAATCCCGAAAATGTTCCGAAAATCATGAAATGCACCGCGAGAGCGAGACGGGCTTGGTCGCGGCCACGTGCTCGAGGAGACGCTTCTGCTGCAAGTAGCGCGTATTGTCGTCGCTAATGTGGCTGTAGTTCATCGCTGTCTTGTTGAAGACAAGCGCAGGCATGTTGCCGAGCGGGTTGGCCTGGAGCAACTGAACCGACTCGACGCTTCCGTCCGCCGCCTCGGTGTACACCATGATGGCCTTGATGTAGAACCGTGTTGCGTCCTCAAGGGGCGGCACTTCGTCGAAGTCCATTGACTCACGCACGCAGTAGACACCACGGTGGCCGCGCTCGTTGACAAACGACCCCGTACACTAATTGCAATATATGGCGGTGGGACCGAGAGATCGAAGGGACAAGGGCCGGTACCTCAATGTAGGTTGTATCGCGCGGCTCAAAGACACCGTTCAATGGCATGCTCATCTTCTTGTAGCGAACGCCAAAGTGCAAGAACGGGTCGTCGAACGTTCGCTCCTTTGTGACGTTGAGGATGCGCGCGTCGAGCATGTTTTCGCCGTAAAACAGCGTCTGCTGGAGGCGAAAGTCGGCCTCCGACTCGACGTACACGAGCTCAATGTAGTCGTCGAGGCTCATGCCGGCGTCGCTGATGACCATAAAGTCCCGGTACGCGGACGTCGCGTTCTTGCGCGAGAGGACTTTGGACGTTGGCGACTCGCGCGCGAGTTTGTACCCGGCGTGGTAGGCGTCAATGAGACGCGTCTCGGGCGAGCTCTCGGTGACTTCCAATATGAGCGACCGCAGGCGGGCGTCGATCGCGGCAGCTTTGGCCGAGGGTAGCTGGACCAACATTAATGCGCGGTCGTGCACGAAACAGCAAAGTCCACACTGGGAAGCAGGGATGCGAACTGCCGCAGCAGGTGTCGGGCACCAGCATCTGATCGGCGGCCCGGCTGAAAGGGCGCGCGTCCGACTGTGTGACTACGCTACGCTTACACTATTTGGTGGGTGACAAGCACTGGCGCCACGCAATCACATACACTGTCTGCGCCAAGCACTGGCTCACAAAACTATTTTACACAGCACAGTATGACCGACATGCCTTCGAGGCTCTCGAAGTGTGCAATCGATGGGAGCGTCGTCGGCGCTGTCGGCCGTGGACGTCAGCCGTGACCGGTGCGATCTGAGCACACAGCCGCCTGTCGCGAGGTGAGCGGTTCGGACGGCGACAGACACCATGGTTCTTCCGCGGAATGCACCTCTCTCGAGTGTTCTTTCCACGAAAAACGTGGCGTCTTAGCTTGTAGTACTGATATCAAAGGTGCAGCATTGCACAGCTTTGTGGTAGTTTGAGAAGCGGCGAGAGGATGAATGCAAGGTATAACGCTGATAACCTCTGAAGCGCGCCAGGTACTCGAGCCGCAAGCTCCAGATCTTGTCGGCTGGCGTCGTCGCTTTTGCACGAGTAGCCAAATCACCAAGTAATGACCCGCCACGTCGCTTTGCTGACGACGAAACAGTGTCTTGGGTGTTGACGTGATCACACTATTTAACACCAAAACACAAAACCACTTCGAACTTCGGGTGATGTCGATCTCGTTGCAACATGATACTCTAGCACGGCTGAGCCATCGGCAGGCACGTTGCAGCTGCTCTCGGCTAGCGACCGTACAAAGGTCCGTGTAGACGTGCCCAATGCGCTCCTTCTATTACGTATTTCTACAGGGAAACTCGACGTATTGGTTTCAACAAGGTAGGATTTCGAGCCGCCAAAGGATGTTTGAAACGCCAGTGGACCTTCCGCGTGCGAGTTATCTCAGTGCTGGGTGCCAGTATCCCGCTCCTTCTGCATCGCTATGAAGCCAATGGACGGAGGCACGCAAGGTGAAGGCGCCCAATGCAAACGCCAGTGTAATTGCAGCACGCAACAAAGTTGCACAAAAATTACCGCGCATAGCACGTACACTGGGACCGTGGCGACTTCGACTGCACTGTAGTATCCCAGACTCGAACTCAATCCAAGCGTAAAACACTAGAGCTGGTTGAAGGGAGTTGCCGATGGAGTCGTACTTCTATGGTGGCTATTGTAAAGAGTCGGTGCCTTCCGCGCCAGACGCAACCAGAGTGCGTACATGAAAGTCGTTCCACCTTGGTGTGCGACATAAATTCGATGTGTGTCCATAGCGTGGGTCCCGGTTTTGATCGAGATGCTAGAGAGGCCAAGAAACTCGAGCTAAAAAGAGAGCAATGAGTTGAGATTGTGCGTGTGTTTAGGGCTGCCGGAAGTCGGCTAATGCGACAAAAGTCTACCAAGTGCGGGCACACTCCATGATTGAAAACGTACGAGACGCCTCTTCGTCACACACAGCACCGCATGCCGCTCTGATACACCGATTTGTGGGGTGTGTCGGTATAATGTCAACACTGCGGCAGAGGGTCCATCCTCGTCTTCAACAGCAAGCACATGGTATCACTTCAATGCCACCACCAAACGCTTTCTTCACCACGTCATTCTCCATTCG